GAATGTCTAGGACTCAAAGAGATTAAATCACAAAAATAGTTACAGAGAAGGCAGCTAACTGATTAAGATTAGGAGAAATAATCTTACCATAGGACTCTACCTAAATTCTGATTATTAAGTCATTTATTTTAATTGTAATTTAAGAATATAATCTTTAAAACTTTAGCAGATGTCACAATTGCTCCCAATCTGGCCTTGGCTAGTCATAGATTTAGCTTTACTTATTCATTAAAACATGGAAAACATTGTTACATTAACCCATAAGCATAACCTTACATTTTTGGTGTTTGAAAAATTTTTTGTACTTATAACAATTCTGCAGCATCTTAGATGTACACCCTGTTCAGAAGACCATAAAGTTGTTTAATTTTACAGTTTTATGACTGAAAGATGGAATGGCTTGTTGGTGTGGTGACAATTTTCACTTACATCTGTAAGAAAAGACAGTTTTACATTGTGCCAATAGCAGTCACATCTTAAGTTCCAATTAAAATGTGACTTTTTAAACTCAAAAAGCTCCATGTGACAATTTAGCCATCTGCTGGACAAAACAGCAGCCACTGATTTGAGTCTAGATAATTATTATGATAAGAACAGGGCTGGGGAAAGTTCAACTCACATCCCAGTTAAGAATGACAGTTAATTATGAAGAGATAATTAGTGATTGCAGTAGTTTACATTCAGAGAAAAAATAGGAACAGATCTCCCCAGTGTAGATACATATCATGAGCAGTATATAATTATATACATTTTATCATTATTTTTAATCTTCTTTTAAAATATGTACCAAAGAGTATATTTACTAACATGTATTCCATCTGCAAGAAAAGGCTGTTTCTCATAAGTTATTTTATTTCTTTGCATTTGATATTTCTGTGAAATTATTGTTACCTCCTTTTGTTACATGCAAGCTTTTGTGTTTCATAGCTACTCTTAACTCTCAGGGAATCTTTAGGTCTTGCCTCTGATGGCATCTGACTATAAATCCTTGCTTAGTACACTCTGTGATTACGTGCCAGGAAGACCTTAAAGCAGTGACACTAGATAAGCTCTCAACAGCTAAAGGAAAGAGATTTTGAATGACAACCATTCTTAGAACTTATACTAAACAATCATTTTCAATTTCTCCGTGATAAAGTTGTATAAGAAGCACAATTGGTTAATTTCCTCTTCACTGTCTTTAGGTGAGTACTTTTGAGTGGGGAAATGGAGAGAAGTCAAGCGTAGAGGAAAAATCAGCCGACAGCTTTCACCTTCAGAACTTGGTAACCAGGCACAGTATTATTGAGTTCTGTGTGGAACGGGAGCCCTGGTCTTATTACTGGTTCATCAGTGTTAGAAGCAAAAGGATTTGCAGCACAGTTACCTCAAAGATGAGAAAGAACTCAGTGACTTGCTCCTGCATGCTCATTTTGTATGTGAAACTAAGTTTGATTATGTCTCCCATACAGTCATAATTTCTTGGCACTTTTGGCCATTCCGGTACTAAAATTTTATGAGTTTAGATTGCATCCGTTTACAGCTTGTTTTTCATGAGACAAGTTACATTTTTATCTTTATGCTATTAATGAAGAAGGGTTTTAAATAATGGAAAAATATAAGAGAAGATTTTCAGTCATCTTAGAGTGACATTAGACACTTAGACTGAAGCACAAAATGAGGTTAGCTTTAAATAATTCTCTTTAGTGCTCAAGATTTCTAGGTTTTTTAAAGCCCATCTTAATTGTAAAATGAGGGTAATTTCTTGCTATGGATTATTTCCAATTTACCATCAGGCTTATATTTGAATATAGCATTTCTATATACCTAGTTGCATGGTCTTGGGGAAACTTATAATTTTCTATAAAATATTTTTCTGCAAAATATTTTTAAGGATTATTTGGGAGCTCAGATAATGAATCCAAGCCTTTTTATATTTATGTCTAAGCATTCAGTAGGATTAACTGTTACTAATATTCATCTATAATTAAATTAGAATACCATGAGCTTCCATCGAGACTTATTTATTATAATTTAGAGATATGGAAAGTTCTTTGCAATGTACATATTAGACTATACTCCAGATATTACTATTTTATTTTGTTATTCTGTTCAATGAGCATGAATCAATCATGATTATAATAGATATGTATAGACTATTTTTAGTCAGGTCAGTTTTTAGTTGAGTTCAACAGTTTTTATATAAGAATTTTTAGGACATTTTATTAGTGATAAACTATAAAAAAAGACTAAGTAAAGAACAGAATGCAGAGGAAGAAACAGCTAAACATTAGAAAACTTGAAACCTAACTTCCAGATCTAGTTCATTTTTTAATTTGGCAAACTGCTTAATCTATCTGAGTTGAGTTTCTTCAAACATCAGAAAACAATGATGCCAAATCACATATGTGGCCATTAAAATTATCAAATTATGATTCTAATAAACTCAGAACAATTCTATTCTTAAAATTATACCATAAGTACACAGACAATATTGAATCATGTGTATTTGCCTGTATTTGTCTTTTTACACAGAAGGAAAGAGTGTGATTGCTGCACTTCTAAGTTAATTTTTTTTCTCAAATCACCATAGAGTAGGTTATTGGGTGAATTTAGAGTCTCTTGTTTTGCTCAGGCAGGACCTATGTCTAGTTTCAGAGAGAAGCAATTTTATACAGCTGGCCTAGAGACCAGTCCTTGTGAAGTTACATAAATTCTTATGAAAAAATATTAGTTACATAAATTACATAATTACTTTGATGAATAACTATTACTAGTTTGGTAAGTGATGTTTCTTCTTTTTATTAAAATGAAAAATTACTTGAAAAAAATGCTACCACATGGTTTTAATTTAAAAACTTGGTTTGCTTTCTATTCTCCTACTCAACAAACATATATTTAAGAAACTTGTATGCTTATTAATACAATTAAATCAGTTTAATATAAGGCCTTAGCTCTATAAATTCCTAATTTGAAAGATAAATAGCTGATATAAAAATAGACTTAATAAAAATAGAAGTACATATCGCTGAATCCTATGTAGTTATCAAAAATAGAAATAAAAAAATAATAAATAATAATGTAGTTTATATAAAAGTACAAACTCTCCCTCTTGTTTTCATAGTGCTAATTACATTCAAACAATTCGTTCTTTTTTTTCACAGTGGAATATCTTTATTCACATATTTTCTGTGACACCCATGCCTCAAAATTATTTATACAAGAAGAACATTAATAGATACTGAATTCCCATTTTGCTTATACACTTGTAGTATTGAGCATGGTAGAGGTCATCTTTTAATGAGATACTGATTTATAACCTACTATTTATTTGGTTCTGGACTAGCCTACCTTATTCACGTACTTGGTGAAGCAGGAAATAAGATGAAGAGGCAATATGAGTTTTAAGATTGTACTTCTGTTACTGTATAACAACACCCTTTTTAGGTTTATTTCATTTGACCATTTTCTATGTTATCAAAGTACAGGCATGCCCTTCTGACTGCCTTCCCATAATGCCTCCGCTGCAGTTTCCTTCCCATTTCCAAAGCCCCTCTCTTTTGCAGAAGGAGGATTCTAATTGTCCTACTGCTTTTTTGTCAGAGTTGTCTAGCAGTCATCCAAGACATCTCTCAGGTGAGCCCGTGAGGACCCTGTGCTGGTCCTGCCTTGTGCCTTCAGAGGCTACTTTGGAAGTAGAGGCAGTGAAGATGTCTGCAGAGGTAGCTGCAGAAACTGCTTCCTAGTTCAGCTGAGGTCAGAGTCTGGTTTCTTTCCACATTACACAAATTCCCATGGAGTACCTCTGAATTGTTGTCGGAACACAGTTGTTTTAACAATATTATTTGAGACCTGACCCAATTATTCAATTGACCAATGTATTTACACGTCAAAGTTAATAAAAGGAATGTACAAAAAAAAAGCCCCATGCAAGTTCCTTTACAAAAACTAAAAGGACCTCAATTAGTTCAGAGACTTCTAATCAATGTTATCTGCACCTATTTTGCATTAAAGCTTAGAAAAAGCTAAAGCTATGGTGGCATACACTATATATGCCACCTTATTTTATTTTTAATTTTACATTGCTTTACTATTTATGTGGTTTACTTTTCATGTTACTTTTTGATCATTTTCTTATTTTAATTAAAAATGTTCTGTGTCATTAAATATTTCATTTTTCAGCTAGATGATTTTGCATATAATTTGGGAAAAAACAATGGAAAATTTTTCTATGATTATCAGAAATGATATGGAGAGTTGCAAATAATTTGGAGTTAATTGGGATCTTGGTTGGGGAACTAATTAATTTATATGTATACACATATATCTATATGTACATATATATGATGAATTTCTAGCAGTATCCATTAAATCATTAATATCATTTTTATTTTATAAATAAAAAAGCATGCATTTACACATATAGGCAAATAATCTCATATCTAAAACATCAAACTTTGGTTATTTGGAAATCGTATCATTCTAGGCCTAATTTCTTAGTTTATATTTAAAGTGTTTTTAAAGCATTTTAATGCCATCACTTGCCAGAATTTAGACCATAAACACCCATGATGTTTGTATGAAGATTGTTTGACACAGTCTGAGTATGTTAGTTTTTCAGCTCTGTTTCAGCCCTGTCATCTGTTTTGTTTTGTTTTGTGTGTGCATTGTCCTTGTTACAAAATGACTGAAGGACTCGTTCTATTCGCACAATCCTGTCATTAATTTTGCCACCACTGGCTCCACCTCTACCTTAATGGCCTAACTAAATACTTGTGACTGTGGGGCTATAGGAACAATGATGGATTTGTGTAACAACTACATTTTTAATCTCTAACTAGCTTTCATTTTTCATCTTTAGAACTTTCATTCCCTCTCTCTACTGAAATAATGTCAGTTGACATAGATGGATACTCCTGCACATGTTGATGGTCTTCTGAGCTCTTTAGGAAATTGCATTGGCCTGGTAATGATACTGTTAATAATTTTTTCATATTTTCTCTCTCTCTCTTTTTTTTTAGTCTCGACCTATTCCTTCCCACCTTACTTCAGCAGTTGCCGAGAGTATCTTGGCTTCGGCTTGTGAGAGCGAGAGCAGGAATGCCGCCAAGAGGATGCGTCTGGATAAGCAGCAGGTACTGAGGACCCCTTGGAGTCTGGTGTACACCAGCAACAGCAAATACAGTTCATTGATGTAGAAGAGCATTTTGAATGGTTCTAAAGTCCACAGAGATAGTCTTTAGGTTATGAATATGAATTTGAATGTTGCCATGCTCAGGGGATCAATGGCGATCAAACACAAAGTCTCTGTGATGGAAAATGGACAGCAGTAAAACTCACTTAGAATTCTGCTGATTTGAAGATTAGTTGCTTCTTAAGATGCTCTGACCAATCATCTATAATAGTTTTGTAAATTTACCTTATCACTTATCATTATGTTTGAATAAAAATGAACCTTTTATTTGCTCGGATCTACTGTCAAGTGCTAATAGATTTTGCTATGACTAGTAAAAGTACAAAATCACTTGTTTTTTGTACTGGTGACTGAACACAGGGTCCTTGCACTACCAGGTACAAAAGCAACAAAACTGGGACTTCATCTAATAAAAATCCATGTCCTGGGATTACTCCCTTATTAATTAACCATTTGTTATACATTCACTGCATATAATCTCTCTCCTAGCTAAGGGTGTAGGCCTGGGTGGTGAGGATCCATGCATTGCATGCAGGTGGGCACTGTTCATTAGGGTTTCAACCAGTTTTTCTTCAGGTTTAACTGTATCTTTCTGTCTCTCCTCATTATCTCTAGAATCCCTTCATCTTTATTTTTCTAGCTTCCATTCTTAGTTATCTGTAATGAAGAACTGAACTATAGGATATTATATTAAATGGTGTCCTTAAAAGTTTTCAGTGCTCTGGCTTTTTAATTATTCTTCCAAAAATAAACTCTATGATTTATATTTCTTATTAAGGTTGAGATGAGTACAGACTAATTTAAATTAGCCCAACCTTTTATCCCCTTGTGGAATAGTGAATTTTAAACCAAAATATTTTCCCATGCCATGCCTAGAATATTTAAAAATGTCTCAGAGAGGCATCAGATCTGATGATTATTATTAAAATGTCATAGATTTGTAATTCTGAGCACAGCTAAAGATGAAGCCCTTAGTTAACTAAAAATACAACATTGGTGTTGGCAAAGGGCATGCAAAAATACCAATTTTGAATTTATTAATCATGCCACCAGGATTTACTCACATGTATGTAGCCTCAGTTGAGAATTTTACTAATTAAAATCTATGAAAATAAGTTGCAGCACTGTATACAATACCATCTAGCATCGGATTATGACTGCGTATTCTGGAATGAAATACACCTCATTTTGATTCTGATCTCTGTCATTGCTAGCCATGTAACATCAGCAAGTTTTTCCATTTCTGTGTGCTTCACTTCATAGAAAGGTCACAGTAGTGACAGTGCTTATTCTATAGTGTTGCTGTGAGAACAATTAACTCATTTGGCATTTTCCTGTCACGTAGTAAGCATCAATAAATGCAGCTTAGAAGACACCATTGTCTAACTTCTTTGTCATTGCATTAATATTAATAAAAATGGAAGCATCAATAGTACTATTTATGATACATCAATTGCAAAGTCAAACAGTCTATTTGCAGAAAAAAATTAATTCTTGAAGTTAAAAATAACATTTTAAGATTGAAAAGAATTGTCTTGCTTGTCATTTGGCCATATATCCCAATTAGCTCATGTTCTAGAGTCTCCTCACGTATTATCAATCATAGATACAATGCTATGAAAAATAGATGGCAGACATATGCTGTGTATGCCTACAATGTCTCTCCATAATATTCCCCAAGCTGGTTACCTACTGGCATTTGGTCCACTCAATTAACTGTTGCTGCCAAAGATGTAAACAGAGGAGGCAAATATCCACTTTCTGAAGTTCTTGTCAGGATTTAATAAGCCAATGTTTGTGAAAGCATGGATATTTATTGTGATTACATATTGTTAAAGATATATTTGCTTGAGTGCCACGTGTAGCACCCTACCCCAGCACTAAAAATCTGCTGTTTACTACTGTCAGAGAGCTACTTATCCTATCAGTGAGCTACCATGGTTTTGATGGTCATTAAATTGAACTTAGATTTGCTTTCTGGGTCTTCCATGAACTGGAAAAAAACTTCCATTGAAAATGAGTGGAATTTTCTCCCATTTCCCTTCAGATTGCAGAAGTAATGGTCCTGGACTGTACGGGTCATGTTTGCCATTTCTTGATCTCTGCATCCTCAAATATAGTAGTATTTTACTGCAAGGTTCATGGTTGGTGAATGAGGAATGCCCATAATCACCTAGACACAGAAATATTCTGTCTGGGCCCTAAAAAAGTTCAGAGTTTGAGATTTCAGGGAGATAAGAAAGAAATGATCTTCTAAATCACAATCTAGGATTTATCGGAAATCCATTGGGCACTTTACAGATTTATTTTCATTTATTGTTGTCAACAACTTCAGGGGAGTAGATAGCATTACCCTCATTGACATATGAGAAAACCGAGGCTCAGAGACATGAGATGATTCACACACGACTGCCAGCTACAAGGACAGGTCAGGTTAATTGTTTGTTTCTGGGACAGATACTAGATCTTGTTGGAGTGCTTTCTTGTTGGTTATGCTCCCCAAATAGAAGCCCATGGCCTGGAACAAACTCACAGGACTCCTGTCTTTCTCCCTTTGATCACTATGTTTCAAAAGTACAGTTTCTACTAAAAATTATATGCTTCATTCACAAAGTCTTTGTACTCTGCTAGAATTAGTAAACCAGATTTTGCCTGGATACCAGTTTTTAAAATGTTACGAACTTCCCAAAGCATTTCAGTTTTTCTGGAAAATTGATTATACACTGTGAAAACTTAGTGTTTATAATTATTACTGTGAGAATATCTAAAGTATTTCTTCTTATTACAAGTTTCATAGATTTCCTTTGGAATGACACAGAGGCTGCTAGCATGGGATCACCTTTCTACAAAACAGGCAGTTGAGGGAGCCCTCTTATACTTGGATCCAAACCTCTACGCAAGCAGGGATGGCCAGAATTTACCTGAGCATTGGCACTGAGGTTACACTGTCTGTGAGCTTAGGCCAACTCACAGTTCTTAGACGTTGTCATCTATTTCAAGATTCATCTTGAACCCGTGACCGTTTGTAGGTTTGTAACAGTTCAGAGCTGGCTGGATTAAATCTGTTTCTGTTAAGCCGCTCCTCTGACCCCCTTGCCGCCAGTGTGAGCCACCTGGAGAACTGTAATTGTGTATGTCCTTCAGAGTTCATGAAGTTTGATGAATTAATTGGGTGTTATAAAGCTCTTTGAGCTATGAACATGAAAGGTGTTCTAGACATGTTAAATACTTTATTTCAAATGTCCATTTCACACTGCAGTCCAGAGGAAGCCTGTTATTATGCAGCCCCAGCCCTGAAGCAAGCCAGTGGCAAGAAGTGTCTACCCCCTCATCAGAAATCACAGCTCACCAAACTCAGCTCACCTGCCATGCATTTTAAAATACATTCAGGATTTCCTTAATTTGAACAAGAAAATCTGGAATTTTTATTGCCCAGAAAGTCTTTGTTTACTTTGACAATGAAAAAAGATGAGCAAAGTTATACCTCACTTTAATAGTTCTGTGACATAGTCAAATTGATGGGGTTGGGTGTCCTTTTTACCTATCTTTGTTATTTAGGTGTTAATTCATTTTTATGAGCAAAAATCTCTCATTGTTCTTGGTCCTTTTGAAGAGATAGAGACAGAAAATGAGAAAGATTAGAGCCAGTTACTTGCTGGTGGTTTATTTCTTATTGATGTATACATTTTGCTATTTTTATCTTTTATTCATAGACTGGATGACTGATTAATATAGGGAGCTTTCTTTGACTTCTGTCCCATCTTTTGGTTAAACTGGTTAGCAGTACTGTGTAAGGGATCACATAGAACAACAGTCTAGGGGTTCCTGACAGTAGCCCAGCAAATGCTGCTCTTGAAGGATGAAGCAGCAAGTCCTGGGTGACAGTTTCTGCAGTTACTAATATAGATGGGGAATCAATGGTCTACTGTGTGTGACACCTTTGATTCTTAAGGAAAAGAACACTGGGGCTGGGGTTGCATGTTTACTGCCTGTGATACAATAAAAGGTGAGAAAACAAAATCATGTACTGAAAACTGATGTTTCCCTACATTAAAAAAAAAAAAATCACTGCAGGTAAACTTCCATCAACCAAGACGTAAAAATTTTTAAAAGTACATGGTTTCCTGCTACTGTTTTTTTTTTTTTTTTCTTTACTTGTGTTAACTTCATTGCAAATCTATTTACTCCTGAGTTTTGCTTTGTTTGGTTAGGCCATCACTAATTAGGCATATTGTTGAAAAATGCAGTGGTAGATGCAAAGGTTGAAAAGTGGCCCGATAAATTTTAATACACTTTTTACTTATTCATGCACATATTTGAAAACTATTCATAACACTACCATCAAGACTGTTTGAGATAGGTAGCTTTTCTGTGTTTCTGTCACATTTCTTCTTTCAGTAACTTTTATAAACTTTAATACTTAGCAGAAAGCAATATTTTGTCATAGGATTCTATTATTAGGCTTATACATTGTCCTAGTAGCTCTTCTATGGCTTGAAACTTGTTCTCTGTGACCTAAGAGCCCACATCTCCATGACTCTGTCCTTAATCATTCTCAGTTTTTTATTCTACTCGTAGTATCTTCTCACAACATTTTGGAGGAAAACCTGTATCTTTGAGTCTTTCAACATGTTTCAACCTGATCCTTTCACGTACAGGAGAAAATATAACATGTAAGAAAAACAATGCCTCACTGCAGGTCCTTCTTGGAATATGTCCTTTTTCCCATGTAACATATATATTTTCAACTATTCGCGATAGAATGTGCTTTGCAAATCATCTCATTCAAAAGGGCCCTGATGTCCTCGTTCATTAGAACATCAGCAACAACAACTCCAGAAACATTTATGCATGAGGCATTCTATGAGAGGTTTTAAAGGCTTTTTAAAGTAGCTGTCATGATTTTTATAGAGGTGGAGAGCATGAGGTTTCAAGTAGGTA